CTTTGTTTGAGCTTACCAACATTGTCAATGCGACGCCGGGTGAATGTGAGAAGTCGATGTTTTCATCGCTGGAATGAGTGGATAAGTGTTAAATAAACATTGTTACGTTGCGTCAGTTGCTGCTATTGAGTTTTTAAAAAAGCGAATGGCGAGCTAGTTAGAGCTCGTTAGTCCTTCCTGACCTTTATTTTTTTGAGGATAGCCACAGAGAGGAATCCATGTTGTGGATAAAAGAACTTTTGGACAGACCGATGATGGTGCTGTCGGAAGATGAAATGGTTTATTACTTGAGGTTATAGGAGTAAATTGAAGGGTCGGAGAAGAAGTAATGTCATTTGAATGGGGGATTCTGTAGTTTGAATAAGATGGAAGACAGGCATTTTTTTCTTGTTTTTTAAATTTGCTGTTTAAAAGTGTATATCTTATTTTTTTCATCTTTTTTGTTGAGGTTTTTTCTCAAAATTGTGACGTTGTCATTGTTTGAATTTTTGGAACAGGTAGAATTAGGGCATCTATTAGGGTAATTTGAGATGCGACAGATGATGTTTTTTTTCTTTGTTTTTTACAAATTTTTGCGATGAATGTCAGTAGGCTGTTAATGTAATTTTTGAGGCTAATATTCACGACAGTCTAAAGATTTTCTGACTGGGTGCCGAAAACAAATTTTTGCAACAAAAATTTCTTTAGTTTCTGGTGTAGCAGAACTGCTGAGCTGAGGAATTTGTAGTCGCTGGGTTAATGGTTGAAAGTTGATAGTCGTCAGTTCGAGTTGTCTTTGCCAACGGTGACTACAGTTAGGTGCGCATGTATTTTGCTTTGCTTCAGAAATTTCACTTGACTTTGGTCATTTGGTTCGGTGAGTAGTATTTGTCAGCTTTAATCTTTGCAGTTCTCACCAACAACTGTTTTTGCTGGAATGGAAAATACAACAATTCAAATGGTAGTGCAGTAGATTTTTTCTTTTTTTTTTTTTTACTTTAGGAGTTAAATGAATGATCCAACTTTGCTGATTGAGCGGTTCAGTTTGGTAGCTGTTATTAGAGTCTGCCAAATTTAGGTGAGAAGATGATGGTGGCATTTCTAGGAGTAAGCTTTTTTTCATTTAAGTTAAGTTACTGCTTTGCTGTGGGAGTAGGAATTGTGGGATTTATTATCATTTTTTTTTTTTTTTTTT